GTTAAAGATTTTGGCATCTGTGTTCATCAAGGATATTGGCCTGTAGTTTTCTTTCTTTGTAGTGTCTTTATTCGGTTTTGGAATTAGGATTATGCTGGCCTCATAAAATGAGATCGGAAGTGTTTTGTCTTCTAGGATTCTTGGAATAGTTTGAGGAGAATGGGTATTAGATCTTTGAATGTTCGGTAAAACTCCCTCATAAAGTCATCCGGGCCTGGGCTTTTGTTTGCTGGGAGTTTTTAAATTACATCTTCAATTTTCTTTGTTGTTACTGGTCTGTTCAAGTTTTTTATTTCTTCCTGGTTCAGTTTTGGGAGGATGTGTGTTTCTAGAAATTTGTCCATTTCTCCTAGATTGTCCAACTTTTTGGTGTATAATTGTTCATAGTATGATTTGATGATCCTTTGTATTTCTGTAGTGTCAGTTGTTACTTTTCCTCTTTTATTTCTGATTTTGTTTATTTGGTTTTTTTCTTTTTGTTTTTTGGTGTGTCTGGCTAAAGGTCTAAAGGTCCATCAAACTTGTTTATCTTTTCCGAAAACCAACTTTTATTTCATTGATGTTTTGAATTGTTTTCTTGGTCTCTATGTCATTTATTTCTGCTCTCACCTTTACTATATTCTTCCTCCTACTAGCTCTGTTTTTTCTTTTTTGTTTGCTTTCTAGTTCTTTAGGTTGTAGGGTTTGAAAGTCAATTAGGAATTTTTGTTGTGTCTTGAGTAGGCCTGTAGTGCAATGAACTTTCCTCTCAGGACTGCTTTCTTTGTGTCCCATAGATTCTGTGGTGTTGTGTGTTCATTTTCATTGGTTTCCAGGAAGTTTTTAATTTCTTTCTTGATCTCCTTAGTAACCCATTTGTTGTTTAATAACATACTACTTAGCCTCCAAGTGGTTGAATGTTATTGTGTGTAAGATTCATGCCATTGTGATCTGAGAAGATGCTTGATATGATTTCAGTCTTCTTGAATTTGTAGAGACTTGCTTTGTGTCCTAACATGTAGTCTATCTTTAAGAATGTCCCATGTGCACTTGAGAGGAATGTATATTCTGCAGCTTTGGGGTGAAATGTTCTGTAAATATCAATGAAGTCCAACTGATCTAGTTCATCTTATAAGGACTCTATGTCCATGTTAATTTTTTTTGTCTAGAAGATCTATCATGTGGTGTCAGTGGCATGTTAAAGTCACCTACTATGATTGTATTGCTATTTATCTCTTCCTTGAAGTCCTCCAGAAGTTTTAAAGTATATTTTGGTGCTCCTGTATTAGGTGCATATATGTTTACCAGGGTTATATCCTCTTGTTGGATTGATCCTTTTAATATTATGTAGTGACCTTCTCTGTCTCTTATTATGGCCCTCGTTTTGAAGTCTATCTTGTCAGATATGAATTTTTCTATACCAGCTTTTTTTTCCATTTCCATTTGCTTGGAATAATTTTTTTCATCCCTTCACTTTTTACCCTGTGTGAGTCTTTTGTTATGAGGTAGGTCTCTTGTAGTCAGCATATATAAGGGTCATGTTCTCTTATCTAATCAGCTACCCTATGTCTTTTGATTAGAGCTTTTAAGCCATTTACATTTAAGGTAATTATTGATAGATAGTTATTAGTTGCCATTTAAATTTTATGCCTGTGTTGTTGTTGTTGTTGTTGTTGTTGTTCTTCTTCTTCTTCTTCTTCTTCTTCTTCTCTCTCTCTCTCTCTCTTTCTGTGTGTGTGTCTCTCTCTCTTTCTTCTTCTTATAATAGTCTTCTCAGCATTTCTTGCAGTGCTGGTTTGGTGGTGGTAAATTCCTACAGCTTTTTTTTTTTTTTTTTTTTTTTTTATCTGTGAAGCTCTTTATTTCTCCTTCAATTTTGAATGATAGCCTTACTGGATAGACTAGTCTTGGATTCAGACCCTTGCCTTGCATTCATTACTTTGTATACTTCATGCCACTCCCTTCTGGCCTGCAGCATTTCTATTGAGAAATCAGCTGACACTCTAATAGGAGCTCCCTTGTAGGTAACTTTCTGTCTCTCTCTTGCTTCCTTTAAGATTCTTTCTTTGTCTTTAATGTTTGCCATTTTGATTGTGATGTTTCTAGTTGTAGGTATTTTTGGGTTCATCTTGTTTGGGACTCTGTGTTTCCTGGACTTGTGTGAGTTTTTCCCTCAGCAAATTAGGGAAGTTTTCTGTCATTATTTCTTCAAACAGGTTCTCTGTTCCTCTCTCTGATTCTTCTCCTTCTCATACCCCTATAATTCTAATGTTTTTATGTTTTGTATTATCCCAAAGCTCCCTTAAACTTTCCTCCTCTTTTATATCCCCCCCCCCCATTTGCTGCTCTATTTGGGTGTTTTTTTTTCTACCTTGTCTCCTAACTCAGTGATTCGATCTTCAACTTCTTCTAATCTACTATTGGGATCTTCTGAAGTATTCTTCTTATCAACTATGTCATTGTTTATTTCCATTTGATATTTATTCATAGTTTCTACCTCTTTATGCTGATGTAGTTTCCACTGAGCTCTTTATAGTTTTTATTAAGTTGCTTTTGGTTCTCACTAAATTGTTTAAACACCCTTAAAATAATTTCTTTGAATTCTTTATCTGACAAATTGCTTGTTTTTATTTCATGTAGTTTTTGTTCTGGTGATTCCTCCTTTTCTTCCATTTGGGTGTTGTTTATTTGTCTCACCATTTTAGCAATCTGGTAGTTCTAAACCTGGTGAGGGATTTTGGGATGTGTAGGCTGGTCAGTGTGGATCAAATAAGGCTGCTGTGTCTTCCAGACTGTTTTAGTGTCTGGCACCTCTTATCTGTTGTGGGTCCTAGAAGATTGACAACTAGTGGCTGGAATTAGTCTGTCATGGTAGGCACTGAAGGGGTGTGTGAGAACCACTGGTGCCCTACTGGAGTGTGTGGGTCCATCTGGTGTGCTGCGGGGTGCACTGCTATCTGGTGGGGCTCAGCTTCTTATCAGTCACTGTTGAATGCTGCTGCGAGTGAGTGTCAGTTCCTGGTTTGTGCTGCTACTGCTGCTGCTATTACCAGGGGGTGCTCTCAGCTCCCAATCCTCTGCTGCTGTTGGAGGCTGAGGATGCTCAGCTTCCGGGACTTTGCTTCTGCTGCAGGAGGAGCTCCACTCCAAATCTACTGTTGCAGTGTCAGGGGCGTGTCTCAGCTGCCCAAGGCTTGCTGCTGCTTGGGCTGGTGCACTGCTCCTGAACAGCCTTTGTTGACGCTTCTGGGGATGGGCCTCAGCTGCTAATCTGTGCTGCTGCTGCCTGGGGATGGATGTTTGCTCCCCAGACTCTGCTGCTGGCGGTGTGTCTTGGCTCCTGAGCTTTAGCTGCTGTTGGGGGTGGGGCTCCACTCCTGCTCAGTCACTGCTACTGTGGGGGAAGGTGCTGGTCTCCCAAGCTGGCACTACTGCTACTGGGCATGTTGCTTTGCTTTGATCATGCTGCTGTTGTGGGGGTTGGTGTTTGGCTCTTGCTGGTTGCTGCTTTCTTGAGCAGGTACCTTAATAGCACTGCTCCTGTGCGCTGATCTGTGTGGACGCAGTGTCAACAGTGTGGTCCACTGGTCCAATGGTGCAAGGTGCACTGGTGGACTTAGGTCGCTCTGCCTCAGCCACTCCCTGCTGCCTCCTCCCAGAGATCAGGGATCTTCCAAAATGGTGGGGCCTTTTGGTGCACAGGGAGAAGCACTCTGACAAGCTGCTTACACAGTAGCCGGCTGTTCCCTGTCCACAGTACTGAAACCCTCTGCCCCACGTTTCTGCTCTGCTCGAGGTTGCTTGTCCACACTTAGGTCCACTCACCCTCTCTCTCACACTCGCTCACGCTCTCACACACTCCCCCTCACTCTGTTCCTGCCTGCCACCATCGTCAATTTATACTTTTAAAATATGCTTAGTCTATAACTTGATTACAATGTTCAATTATTACCTTTTGATCCATGGCTATTAAAGATGTTTAAGTCAACACATCTATACAAACACCAATTTCCTCTCTCACTTTCCTACCAACTTTTGTTATATCATTTCTACATTGTTATTTCTACATTTCTATAATTTTCCACATTTACAAAATGTTCTGTAATAGTAACACCACCAGTTCTATTGTTGTAGTTTTTCCGTGCATGTTTTTATTGAAATTTATGCTCTAGTATGGAGTTCCACACTATTGACATCTTGGACAGAATAACTGTTTTCAGTGTGGAGTGGCTCTTCTGTTTTTGGAACCTTGAAGATTCTATGATCTTGACTATTATTAATCCTATGTCTCCAAAAGATCTTGGCAGAATGCTCTTGCACAATATTTTTTGTATCAGTGAATTAATATATAAAATAACCAAAATGTAATTTATAAAAATGAATATTCAAACACAAATAAGACTTTGAAATAAATATCTATAATTTGCATACAATGCTGAATATCATAGGGAATTAATCTAGTCCATGCCTTTCAGGACCTTTCAAGACCATTAATTAAGTATTAAAGATGAGATGCACATGAAATAAGAACCTTAAATATCAGTACAAAGCAGCATAGAATTAATGTCCAATTAATAGTACAGATAGTAGTAGTTCATAGATGTGAGAAAGCACTGGTGCAGGAATGGAACTTGAACTAAGACTTGAGGAATTAGTAAAAGTAGAATGAAATATGTTTATAGAGGAGAACTATGTAGTTGTTGGTAGCCAAGAAGAATCCATTGGGAATGTAGAAATTTAACATACCAGAAATAAAAAACAAGTATGGGGAAATGTATGAAAAGATAAGGAAGTATGAAATTGAGAAGACATGATTTTCACTGGGAAGATTTTTCTAAGTACCACTTTCTTCTTTACCTCGTCAGAGTGCCTTCATTTTTGCTTCCACAGTATCCCATAGTTACCTCTATTGAGCACTTATCATTCTCTAGTATAACTGTTTACCTGCCTGGCTTCTATACTAAATTGTGAAATCTTTGATTGTATTAAGATTAGTTCTGTGTGATTATACCATTAGCACCATGGCACATGGTAGGTGTTAAATGTTTGTTGAATTAACAATAACAGTAAGTTTGGGTTGTATTAATACAAACAAATGATGGATTTCATAAAGTTTAAAGTAAATTTTGAAAGAAGAAAAATATTTAAATTGGTTTGTAAGAGAAGATATACTATATAATTTGATCATCATAATAAATAAAGTTATAAATGGGCAGTGTGGCCTTTGTAATTGTCAGTAATAATTGGAGTACCTAAGGGTTCTCAGGGGAAAGTAATAAGTCATCACATAGCAAGGTTAGAACAAATGGATCTAGTTCATACAGATTTTTTTTTAACCAAACTAAGAAATCTTAATTGTCATTAATTTGCTGGAAACACTATGATGCTATGTCAAAAAATCAAGGGGAAATTTAGGTTGATGTAGACTGGGATGATGGCAGTGAAAACCAGAAAGGAAAATCTGTTTGTTTTTTTTTTTAATCACAACTATGAAAGAAGGATAAAGTGCAGTAACCTGTGTGAATATACTTTATAAAACCACTCTATAGTTCTAAATGTTATAGTACTTGTAATACTTCTCACTTGGCCCACAATTATTTACTGACTGGCAGTAACCTGGAATGATATAAAATGCCCTAGAATGGGTGTCCAGGGATATGAATCTTGATCTTAGTTCCAAAACTATTGTGATGTATGGCTTTAGGAAGCCATTTAATCAATGGATCTCATCTTTCTATTCTGAAACAGCAGAACTTAATTAGATCACTGATTTTCAATGCTGTCTCTGCTCTAAACCAAATGATGATAGTACACAAAGCTGTCAGAACAATAGCTTACTTCTTCAGTGATTCTCATGGTGGAAAACAAAAGAGGCATGCCTTTGATGGGCTCATCTGTAGCTTGGATGTGACTGAGGAAAAAATCTGTGAGCTTGCAGATAGACCAATTAAAAATTCTCAAATGTTTTGAAATGCAAAAAATAAAAAGAATGAAAAAACAAACAGAAAAAAGCAGAATACTCAAGGCCTATAGGAAAGTTACAAAAGGTATAACATATGTATAATGACAATACCAGAGGAGATAAAAAAGTGAAGAGAACAAAAGAAATATTCTAAGTAATAATGGCTGAGAATATTCCAAAATTAATGACAGACCAAACTCCAGATTTAGAAAGCTCAGGGAACAACTACCAGGATAAATAACAAAACAAAACAATGGACACTTATGTATATTACATTCAAACCACAGAAAACTAAAGACAAAGAAAAAAATCTTTTTTTTTTTTTTTATCCTTACCTGAGGACATTTTTCCATTTTTTGTTCAGATAGAGTGGGAGGGAGAGAGAGGAACAGAGAGAGAGAAACATCGACGTGAAAGGGACACATCGAGTGGCTGCCACTCGCACAACCAACCAGGGCCGGGAACAAACTGCAACTGAGGTACACGCCCTTAGCGGGAACCAAACCCAGATCTCTCTGGACCACAGGCCGACGCTCTAACTGCTGAGCAAAACCGACCAGGGCACAAAGAAAAAAATCTTAAAAGAAGCTGGGGGTGGCAGTGGTGAATACCTACCTACAGAGAAAAAAGGATAAGAATTACATTGGATTCCTTGTCAGAAACTATGCAAGCAGGAAAAGAATAGAGTGAAATATTTAGTGTTGAAAGAAAAAACTCCTCCAAACTGGAATCTGTAAACAGTGAAATAATCCTTGAAAAATTAAGGAGAAATGAAGACCTTCTTAGACAAACAAAAGCTGTGAGACTTTGTTGCCAGTAGACCTATCTTGCAAAAAAATGTTTAAAATAAATTCTTTTTATATTAAAAGAAAGTAAGTTCCATCCCAAGTTTCAGCGCGCACACACACACACACACACACACTCACATTGAGACAGAAAATAACATAGGTCAGAAACTCACATCTACCTAAAAAAAAGGCAGCACTTCAGATAAGGACTAAGTAAAGGAAAATAAAAACTTTTACTTTTTAAAATTCTTACTTGATCTCATTGTTAACTGTTGGTTCTAAGCAATAAGAGCAACAATGTATTGGGTGATTTTAACATAAGAATATATGAAATGAATTATAACAATGTTTTAAGAATTGGGAGAGAGCAATTGAGAATAATCTGTTAAAAAATATCTGCAATACTCATTAAGTAGGATAGTGTTATTTGAAAGTGGACTTGGATTTGTTATAAATGTATATTGCAAAAGGAATCTTGTGGTAACAAAACAAAACAAACAAAAAAATTCATCACCAATAAACTCTAGGGCAACCACTTAAGAATGTTAAAAAAAATGTATAAAAAAAGCTCAAGAGAATGATTACCAATCCATGATAATTCTGTAGTATTTTAAGACAAAATTGAAGTTTTAAAATATTACTGAATTTTTTGATTCAGAAAATAAGTTCTGAAATAATAGCACAATGTTAGAATATTTTAAAAGAAGTATAATTGATATGCTAAGAGAGGAGAAAATCTGAGGAACTGAAGGAGAAAACTGAATCATAAAATGTTCAATCAAAACCAGAAAAGGCAAAAAAAATAAGGAAGATTAAAAAAAAGAAGAAGCAAAACAACTACAATGAATGAAATCTTTACAAATGTAGCAGCTATTAAGCCAAGAATGTCAACAATTCATTAAAATGTGAATGGTCTAAGTCCACCAGTTAAAAGACAAAAATGGTCAGAATAGATACAAAAACAAGACCCACTTATATGTTGTCTACAAGAAACTTACAATAAATATAAAAACACTGATAGATTAAAAGTAAAAGGATAGAGAAAGATATACCATACTAACACTTATCAAAAGAAAACTAGAGTTGATACTTGAAAACAAGAAAAATTATTAGGAATAAACAGGGGCAATACTTAATGATAAACGGATCAATTATCCAAGAAGACATAACAATCCTTAATTTATATGCACCTAAAAGAGAGAGTGAAAATATTTGAGTCAAAAATTGCTTGAACTGCTCTGGCCAGTTTGGCTCAGCGGTTAGAGCGTTGGCCCGCCGACCATTTGGTTCCTGCTAAGGCACATACCTCAGTTGCGGTTTGTCCCCACCCTGGTTGGGGTCGTGTGGGTAGCGACCACTCCATGTGTTTCTCTCACATTGATATTTCTCTCTCTCTCTTCCTCCCTCTCTCCTTCCCACTCTATCTGAAGATAAATGCAACCCCCCCCCAAAAAAAACCAACGCTGCTAGAACTGTAAGGTGAATAGAGAATTCCATTATTATAGTTGTAGACATCCACACCCTCTCTCAGTAATTGAGAGATCCAGCAGACAGAAAACCAGTAAGGATATAGTTGAACTGAAGAGCACCATCAATCAACTGGGTCCATTTGCCATTTATAGAATACTTCATTTAGCAGAAGAAAATGCATTCTTCTCAAACTCACATGGGATACTCACCAAGACAGACCACAATCTGAGTTATAAAAGAGCAGAAATCATATAATATTTGCTCTCAGAACACAATGGAATTAAACTAAAAATCATTAACAAGATGTCTGGAAAGGCAAAAATATTTGGAGATTAAACAACTCACTTAAATAACAAATGAGTCCAAGAAGTCACAAGAATATTTTTTAATGTTTTGAACTGAATGAAAATAAAACAACCTAAAATTTATGACATGCAGCAAAAACAGGGCTTAAAGGTTATGTATAGCATTGAATGCATATATTAGGAAAAGAAGATTGATCTAAATGAAATACTCTAAAAAGAAGAACAACATAAACCTAGAGCAAGCAGAAGAAAAGAAATAATAAAAATTAGAGGAGAGTTCAATGAAAATTAAAGGAAAAAAAACAGAAAAATCAATTGAAAAGAAAATCAATAAAACTAAAAGCTAGTTCTATAAAAAGATTAGTAAAATAATAAAACTCTAATCCAGCTAGTCAAGAAAACAGAGAGAGAGAGAAAACAAATTACTAATACCAGAAATGAAATAGGGTTCACAACTTCTGATTCCATGGACATTAAAAAGAAAATGAAAGAATACTATGAACAACTCTAGGTCCATACATTTGGCAATTTAGATGACATGGACAAATTCTTTGAAAGACATAAACTACCAAAGCTCACACAAGGAGAAATAGATAATCTAGTATAAATAATTTTTATTTTTATAAATTATCTATTATAATAGCTAGGCTTATATCTTTTAAAGAAAGAAAATTAGTAATTAATAACCTTCCAAAATAGAAATTAACAAGTTCAGATAGAATCACTGATGAATTTTACCAAACATTTAAAGAAGAAATTATATAAATTCTTTACAATGTCTTCCAGAAGATAGAAGTAGAGGGAATACTTTCTAAACAATTCTATGAGGATAGCATATCCTGATACCAGAAGCAAACAAAAACATTACAAGAAGAAAACAACTATAGACCCATATCTCTCATTAACATAGATGCAAAAATCTTCCACAAAATATTAGCCTTTTGAATCCAACAATGCATAAAAATAACTATACACTACAACCAAGTGGGATTTATTCTAGATATGCAAAACTGGTTCAGTATTCAAAAATTAATTAATGTAATTCATCACATTGATAGGCTAGAAAAGAAAAATCACATTATCAATAGATGCAGAGAAAGCATCTGTTAAAATCTAATATGTATTCATGAAGAAATTCAGCAAACTAGGAATGGAGGAGAACTTTCTCAATTTAGTAAGGAACATCTCCCCCAAATCCTACAGAAACCAGGTGCTTTTCCCCTAAAATCAGGATTATGGAAAGGATGTCTTCTCTTACCAATGCTATTCAACAACTGTACTAGAAAGTACTAGCTAATTCAATGAGAGAAGAAAATAAAATAAAAGGTGTACAGGTTAAAAAGAAAGAAATAGACTGTTGTTTTTTGTTCTATGTAGATAATCTCAAAGAATCAGCAAAAGAACTCCTGAAAATAATAAGCAATTCAAACAATGTTATAGGGTATAAGATTAATATATAAAAATTGCTTTCCTATATACCAACAACAAGAATTTGAAATTTAGAACACTACAATTTACATTAGTATTAAACACACTACAATTTATTTAGGCATGAATCTAACAATACAAGATGGAACAAAAGTAAGTTTACAATTGTTCATATGGAAACTAATATAATAATAAATAATAATACAAGAATAATCTCTGTGTTTTGCAAACTCACAACTGTAAACCTACTTCCACTCTGTATATGTGCAGGATTTATATGAGAAAATCTTAAACACTGTGATAAAAAATAAATAAAAGAAGATATAAAAGTAATGAAAAGATATTCCATGTTCATGAAAAGGTAGACTCAATATTAAGGTGTTTTTCTAAACTTGATTTATAGATTCAATACAATCCTGGTGAAAATAACAGAAAGTTACTTTGTGTACTTTGACAAAAATATTCCAAAGTTTACATATAGGAGCATAAGACCTAGAATAGCCAATACAACACTGAAGTAAATAAAGGAAGTGGGAAGACTTTATAGTAATACAACTACAGAAATCAAGGCAGTATTATATTGGAAAAAGAACAGACAAATGGATCAGTGGATGAGAATACAAAGCCAAAAAATAGACACATACAAATATAGACAACTGATCTTTGAAAAAGATCGAAGACAATTAAATGGATAAAGTATAGTTTTTTTCAATGAATGATACTGAAACAAGTTAAGTGGGCATTCATCTTCAAAAAAACAAAAACAAACCTAGACCAGACCTTACACTTTCACAAAAATTAACACAAAGGAATCATAAACCTAAATGTACTATGCAAAATTACAAAACTTCTAGAATATAACATAGGAAAAATCTAGAGTGACACTGGGTTTGACAATGACTTTTAGATATGATACCAGAAAAACAGTCCATGAAAGAAAAAATTGATGTTAGACTTTATTAAAATTTTTCTGAGAAAGATATTGTTAAAACAATAAGAAGACAAACAATGTTCTAAGAGAATGTATTTGAAGAATAAATATCTGATAAAGGACTTGTATTCAAATAAAGAAACTTAAATTCAACAATAAGAAAACAACCCAATCAAAAAGTGGGCTAAAGATCTGAACAAACACCTTACCAAAAAAGATATACAGAGGCCAAATAAGCAAATGAAATAATGCTCAACATCATATGTCATTAGGAAATTGTACATTAAAACAGCAATAAGATACCACTGCAGACCAAATAGAATAGGTAAAATCCAAAACACTGACCACACCAGATACTTGAGAGGAGCAAGAAGAACTTTCATTCATTGCTGGGGAGAAATGCAAAGTGGTACAATCACTTTTGAAGGCAGTTTGGTAGTTTTGTACAAAGCCAAACATACTCTTACCATACAGTCCAGCAATTGAACTCATAGATCTTTACTCAATTAAGATGAAAGCTTATGTCCACACAAAAAGCTCCAAACTGGAAGCAATTCAATAGCTAAATGGATAAACAAACTGTCCATGAGAGTTGGCCTTGTTTTGCCATATCTTTAGATACATTCACATAATGTAATTTTATTTAGAGATAAGAGAAAATGAGCTATCATGCCATATACAGACACAGAGGAAATTTAATTTTATATTGCAAATTAAAAGAAACCAGTTGAAAAGGTTACATACTGTAGGATTCCAACCAAATGGAATTCTGGTAGGGCAAAACTATGGAGACAATAAAAATCAGTGGTTGCCAGAGATTTGGGGAGAGGGGACAGGATAAGGATGACTAGATAAAGCACTGAGGACTTTTAAGGTGGTGAAATTATTTTGTCTTATATTGTAATGGTGGAGGCATAACATTATGTATTTCTCAAGACCTATAGAGCTGTACAACAAAAAGAGTGAACACTTTATGTAAAATATGGACTTTAATCATGCATCAACATTGATTCATTAACTGTAATAAGTGTACCACATTGATGACAGATGTTAATTGATGAAACATGTGCAATAAAAGGGGATGTATGATAACTATACTACCTTGATCAGCTTTTATATATATATAAAACTTTTTAAAAATAAAGTCTACTCACTTAGTAAAAATTTACGTAATAAATAAAGTGAAACAACAAACAACAGAGATGAGAGGAGAGGAAGTCAAACTAATGAGTGTAAACTACTTCCGTTTGCCATTGAAGAGGACAAATGTGGTGGAATTGTGGTGGTTGGAAGAAGTTCTAGAGTCTATTGAGGTTTTTGCTAAGTATTGTGTTTTTAATATTGGAGGGAGAAAAAATAAATTTGAAGATAGTGGTGAAATCATTTCATTTAATGAGCTCACTTTGATTAGTTCTATATAAGCAGAAAGCAAATATTCTTCTCCTGTTGCTGCCTTTGGAACTCACATAGCACACAGCCCTCTCCCAGGGCTTTCCTGTTCACTTTCATCTATTTGCCTTTTCTCATTTTCAGATAATAAGCAATTAGTCCAATCTAAATCAATACTTTCATCTAGTATGTAATGCAACCTGCTCATTCTCCCAGTTCAGATTAGGTCTGCCTTGATGGATGGGATATATACAAGTCAAAAAAATAATATACTTTTGTTGTTAGACAAAGCCAAGGCAAATAGAAGCATGAAGTTCTTCTACCTTGTTCTTTTACTTCCCAAGTCATAGTTTCTGGATCCTCAATAGGTGGGACTAGGAAACACAAAGAGTTAAGGAGTTAAGAATTAAGGTGAGAATCACATACCAATCTCTGCACACTCCTGAAATGCCAGGAAATACAGGCCAAGTAATTTCAAAGATCACCTTGCCTTATTCCAGTTTGGACACAACACTGAGTGAGCCTATACATTTTTGTCATTCTGTAGATATCTATAGATATCAGTAGGAGAGGTGGGTAGGAGAATGGTGAGATGTTATTCTCTCCTTGTGGCACATACTCCTGTTTTCTATAAATGGTTTTCTGATAATTCCCCCTCACGTGGATTACAGTGGTGGGAGGGAATTTTCTTCCTCCACCCACCACGGGGAGAGAGAGATCAAGGAAACACACAGCAATCCAATAGCACTAATCAGAAGAAATCCTTTCTCTGAACCCAGATCAAGCTCTAGCCATCTCTTATGTATATTCAACAGGTAGGTGAGAACTAGACTTGCTTGGGCCATCTCTTGGCAAGTAATACCTTATGAATCTATTATCTCCCCATTTAGAATGTAGAGGTCCTCATCATTTATTATATTCAACTGAGAAAATAGAAAACAAATGTCATTTAACATTCTGTCACATAGGAAAGAAAAAACATATTTGATGTAGTGAGATTCCTAAAAATGTGGGCTCAGTGTATTTCTGGACCTAAGAGAGAAAAGAATACTTTCTGTGTAACCTATATGAACTTATGGTACTGTGTACCCTATATCAGAATGTTATCATGTTCAAAAGACACATTGGTATGACATCTGGCACTGAAAAGAAATGTAATCTTTGCTCAAAGAGTTTCAAATAAGGAAGAGATGATGATGAAGAGTAAACATTCATCAAAATTATTTTATTCATTCATATTGCCAAAGTTTTATTGGCAACTGCTTAAACATCTCTTTTATAATCTACTCTTTTCTTTGTCAATTCTATTTTTTTCAAGATTAAGCTTCCTATCCTCATAAATCTAATACAGTTTATCCTCTTCACTTCTCCAATTATTTGTTCAAACTTTATCTTAGTTAAACAAAAGTCCTTATAGCTAAGTGAATATATACTACAGAAATAATTTTAGAAACTGAGAGAGGGGTGAGTAAATAAAAGTTTTCACTACTAAGATATTATAGGTTTGTCCCTGACACTTAAATGAATATAATCTAATGGTGCTATTTTTCTTTTTCAGTTTTAGCCAAGACTGATAAAATTGAGCCACCACATGAGAAGTTTGCTCAAGATGAAATCACTTTAATTGGAGGAAATAAAACGAGTTTTCCTGATGTTGTTTCAAGAAAGCAATTGCAAACCTCTGTCAACATCCAGAATATATCTCTCCATTATCAAGTACAAAGAAGAGTGGCTGCTATGTTAACACCTTACAGATCTTCTAAGAATGTTTATTGGAGCATTCCAGAGACTGCTGCTGGTTCCATAATTTTTCCCAGTTGGCCTTCAGCTTCCAGGCGAATTTTTGGGAAAGAAAGAAAACAAATGGAAAGATCAAGAAAACCAAAGGAAGAGCCATTGGAAATAAAAACAATTTCTGTTGATGACCCACTGAAAGGCATTCTGATTCTCTCCTCAGAGTTCTCCAAACCTTCACATGCCCCTTCCCCAGTTATCAGTCCCAAACTCAAAGAAGTTAGCCCTGAGTGTTGCACGGCCTATACTTTTAAGCATCCTCTGATAGATTTAAGTACAACAACGCCAAGTGCTATTCCAAGAATTATGCCTGTTCCAGCAAAAAAAAAGTCTGACCACTTACAACAAAATATGATGACGCTGCTAAGTATTAGTCATTTTTCTGGTACTGCTTTACTACCAGCACCAGTTTTACCAAGAAAACCCCAAAGACAGTCTGTAATAGGTACATCCATTCTGAACATGGTCCATAATATTGGGGTCAAGTAGAGAAAAGGGAAGAGAAAGTCATGCAAGCAAATGGTGCTCTCCCATTTGTAGAGTGTGATGATTGCTCTTTACCTATGCATTTAATGTATGGGCCAGAATGCAGTTCCAGAAGTCTAACCTTGCAGGTCTGCTAAGCTCAAACTTGGTGCTCCACCCAAATGGTGGTGGTAGGAACCAGGTAAGGGAGTTCAGAAAATATAATATAAATGAACAGTGAGAATGAACAATTATTCAGAAGGTAATCTAGATGAACTCTAGAAGTAGACTGTCAATGCTACTAGGCAGATTATCATGAATAATTACAATTAATTAAAAGATGAACAATTATAATGAAATCATTACAACCTCAACATGAATTTTTACAAATATCCAAAGGTTGTTCCACCTTTTTTCTTTTTTTCTAGAAACTCAGATAACAGAAAATGAAAATTCAGAAAGTGTTCCAAAGCAAGGCATGCCAACCCCATCTGAAGGTAAATGCTGAGTTGATGTCATTCTTTTATATACTGTAGGTCATATTATCTCTCTATAAAAGTATTGATGATTTTGTGTTTGTGTATATATGTATGATACATACATATGTTTCACCTCATGTTTAGTTCCTTAAGCTGTTTATTCAGCAACAATTTTTTAAGTATTGACTATAAACCAAACTTTCTACTGATGTTGGGAACATAAAAGCTGAAGTATTCTTAATCTGGGTGGGGCAGATAGACAAGCAATAATGAGAGTTAGCTACTTGCCATGTGCTAGTTACTGTTTTAACTTCATTATAGAACTATAAATTCTTTACACAGATAATGTGTTAAGTAAACAATTAACAATTACACAAAGAGAAAGAGAAAATAAATGAAAACTAACAGGAACAAACAGCAAGCAGTAGAAACATACCTACAGGAGTTCCAGGTACTAAAATTAACAGATACATATTTTAAATAATCCAGTGACTTCTGGTTCAGTACAAGATTGAATAGCTTGTATTAGACAAGCCCTGTCACCAAAATCACATCTTGAAACTTCCCCAAATATACGTGTATCTTTTGAAGGTACTGGAGATTAACCATTACAGAGAAGGCTAGAGTGACTATGATCCTTGAAATAAGGGAAGCATATGAGTTAATTGTACATTTACCTTGGCTTTTTGCAGAAGGACATTTATCAGTTTGGAGAAAAGAGCACAAGTAGAAAGTGGCAGTATTACCGGATTGAGGAGATAAGCAATCAGACTTTAGGATTGCTAAAATAGCTGGGACTTGAGGGGCAAAACCTCAGAGAGGAGACAATTGAATGCAAATATCTACGTACAAACTCCTTTAAGGGTGTTGGCTGATGTTTAAGTTGTGCACGTGCAGGTCAATAAAAGAAACACAGCTGAAAACATCAGCTGAGATGCTAAAAAACTGAGCATAGATTTTCAAAGTTGCACAGGAGACAGTTATTGATGTTCAAGCTCTGCCAAAGTGAAGGGGCCTTTGTAAACACCCTGGGCATTCATCTGAAGACTGAGAGAACCCATGTCTCAGGATTAAGAATGATATTCTAGGAGAAAGGACAAAATGAAAATAGATTACTCCTAATAAAGTTCAAAACCAATTATTGATAAATCAAAGTGATACATTCTGCCTAATCAAAGAAAACCTAACACTTGGTATAGAGAGAGAGCATTATCCAGTCCCTTTAAATTTTTATCTGCAATGTCAACATTAAATTAAAAATTCACAAGGCACCTTAGAAACAGGATAAAGTATCTGAAAAACCAATAGAAAAACCAAGCAATAGAAACAGGCCATAGATTCAAATATTGAATTTTTCAAACAAGGATTTAAAAATAACTATGATTACTATATTCAAGAAAATTTTTTTTAAGTTGGAGAATTTTCCCAAAGAACTAGAATTTTGTTTTAAAAATAAGTCATATAAAATTCTAGAACAAAGAAATAATAAAATGACTCAATGGATGTGTTTAATAGATTATATATGGAACACTTAAATCATAGAACTTTTGTTTTTCCTCCAGTTTTACTGAGGTATAAATTGACATATAACACTATAAATTTAAGGTGTACAACATAGTTTTTATACATACACCCAAGCTGGGGCAAAAATTCATTTATACACACACACACAGAGGCTGGGGCAAAAATTGGTTTACAGTTCCTATGAAAAAATAATACAATAATTAATAACTAAAAATACAAGAATAAACTCTGTTTCATGTGCTCACAACTATAAACCTACTTTTTCCCCACCCTTTGTAATGACCACAATCAGTTTAGTTAACACCCATCACTTCACATAGTTTTAATTTTTTTCTTGTGATGAGAACTTTTAAGATTTATTCTCTTAGCAACTTTCAAATATAGCAATAATGTACATTTCCGGGCTCACTGTTTCTGGTTAGCACCATCTGTGACATAAATTAACTGCTAGTCTGTTCCATGTCAAAAGTCTAAATCAGTCATGCTGCCATCTCTGATGTATTAAGTTTATTCCACTCCAGTAGTCCCCTCTTTGAAAAGTTTCAGTGAATTTAAGGGCCCTCAGATTCTCCAGAGATCTATCAGGAAATGTCTAACCACCTCCTCACCTAATCTTACTCCTTTGCATTCAAAATGCTTGAGCCCTGGCTGGTTTGGCTTAGTGGTTTAGACTGTTGGCCCGCAGACCAAGGAGTTGCAGGTTTGATTTAGGTTAAGGGCACATGCCTCAGTTATGGTTCAGTTCCCACCCTAGTCGGGGTCATGTGGGAGGCAACCAGTTGGTGTGTCTCTCTCACATCGATGTTTCTCTCTGTCTCTCCCTCACACTCTATCTGAAGATAAATGGAAAAATATCTTCAGGAGAGGGTTAAAAAATGCTTGAGCTTAGACCATGAGGGTAGGTGATCTGGGAGCACACCACAGAATTATATCTTAACTCATTCTTCTTTAATTCTTGCTCCATTTCCTATCCTAAAACAAGGAACCTCGATGTCATGTCATACAGCATCCTTCTTTATTCTGTGGTTAACTTTCACACCTATTGATCTAAAAAAGGCACATGGGCCTATTTTAGAAATTAAATACTGAACATTTTTTTTCCTAGTATACATTATTACCTCTCATTGAAGTAATAGTATAAAAATTACCAAGATTTTAAAATATGTTGCTACAAGTAATGCAGCAAGAATGGCTGGGAATGTAAAAAGTATTTAATACAATTTCAAAATATTTTCTTGCCACACTTGGGTGTATACTTGGACAGGCCTTTTTTTTTCTGTTTTAGAAAACAGAACATTTGTCTGTTGGTTTGTTTATTTATTTATTACATTTATTGAAGTGACAGTGATTAATATGATTATGTAAGTTTCAAGTGTATAATACTATAATTAACCTTCCTAATGCCATGACCCTTTAATACAGTTTCTCATGTTGTGGTGACCCCCAACCATAAAATTATTTTTGTTGCTACTTTATAACTATAATTTTGCTACTGTTATGTCTTAGGTGACCCCTGTGAAAGGGGGTCGCGACCCACAGGTTGAGAACCGCTGCTATAATACATTATCTGTATATTGCACTGTGTGCACATAACCCAAAGTGTAGTCTCCTCCCATCACCATATGTTTGTCCTCCTTCACCCCCTTTAACTTCCCTCTACCCCCTTTCCATCTAGTAACCACCAAAATATTTTTTGTGTCAGTGACTTTTTTTCCCCAGTTATTTGTTTTATTTGTTGCTTTATGTTATATATATCACATATGAGTTAAATCACATGATTTTTGGCCTTTTTTATCTGACTTATTTCACTTAGCATGATACTCTCAGTATTCATTTATGTTGTCTCAAATGGCAATATTTCATCTTATGGCTGATAGTATTTCATGATTTATATGTACCAAATCTTCTTTATCTAATAATCCATCTAAGCACATTTAGGTTGTTCCCACATATTTGTTACCATGAATAATGCTGCACTGAACAAAGGGGTCCATGTATCATCACACAATGTTTTCAATTTGTGGGGTGGGTATCCAGAAAGAGGGTTGCTAGGTCATATGGTAGCTCAAACCTTAATTTCTTTGAAGAACCTTTACACTGTTTTTCATCGCACCTGTACATTCTCACCAGCAATGTATGAGGGTTCTTTCTTCTCCACATCTTGTTATCTGCAACACTTGTTATCTCTAGTGTTGATAGTAGCTATTATAATACGTGTGTGGTGGTACCTCATTGTGGTTTAGATTTGAATTTACTTTATAGCTAATAAGTTAAGCATCTTCCCTTTTCTTTTTAAGTTTCCCTTTATTGTTAGTGTTATAGATGTCCCTTCTTTTTTCCCCATTGACACCTTCCTCCCTGTTCTTGCCCCCCCCCAACTCCTTCATCACACTGTTGTCTGTGTCCATTGGTTATACATATACATTTAATTATCTCTCTCCCCCCAACTCCCTTCCCTCTGAGGTTTGTCAGTCTGTTCCCTACTTCCATGTCTCTGGATCTATTTTGCTAATCAGGTTATTTTGTTCATGATATTCCACATATAGATGAGGTCATGTGATACGTGTCTTTCTCTGATTGGCTTCTTTCGCTTAGCATAATACTCTTCAGGTCCTTCCATGTCATCTCAAAGGGTAAAAGATCTTTCTTCCAGTTGCATAGTATTTTTAGTGAATTAATATTTTAAAATTTTGTTTTAATTTTCTAGTACAGTAAATATGAGTAGATATAATCTATACTTCATTCTACAACACATCATCTGTGCACTGTATTGTGTGTTTAGCACCTCAAGACAGGTCTTCATCCATCACCTTTTATCCCCCTATACCCTAATCCACCTCCCCTTATGTCCCACCCCTGGCAATTAACACACTGTTGTCCTCCTTCATGAGCTTTTTCTCTCTCTCTTTTCTTTTTTGCTCAATCCCTTACCCCACCACACTCAGACTCCTCCCCCCACAGCTGTCAGCCTGCTCTCTATCTATGAGTCTGTCATATTTTGCTTGTTAGTTCATTTTGTTCATTAGATGCCACATATGAGTGAAATTATATGGTACTTTTCTTTCTTTCTTTTTTTATCCTCACCTGAGGACATTTTTTTTCATTTTTTGTTAATATAGAGCAGGAGGGAGAGAGGAAGAAAGAGAGAGAGAAACATCGACGTGAAAGGAACACATCGAGTGGCTGCCACCCGCAAGACCCAAGCAGGGCTGAGGACAAATTGCAACCGAGGAACGTGCCCTTAGTGGGAACTGAACCCGGATCTCTCTAGACTGCAGGCCAATGCTCTAACCGCTGAGAAAACCAGCCAGGGGAGTACTTTTCTTTTTTTGACTGGTTTATTTCACTTAGTATAATGCTCTCCAGGTCTATCCATGCCATCACAAAGAATAAGATTTTCTTCTTTTTTACAGCTGAGTAGTATTCCATTGTGTAAATGTACCACTGCTTTTTAATACACTCATATATTGATGGGCACTTGACTATTGTAGTTA